TTATGCAGGAAACACTTCCAGTCTTCCTCAGTTCTGGTAAACAAGATTGTGTCATCTGCATACTGCATGGTGATGAGTCTTCCTCCAAAACTGATACCCTAAGAAAATCAGAACTGAGACACGAATGGAGGGATGTACACCTATGATCATAGCAGCTTTATTCACAGTAGCAAGAAAACGGAAACAGACTAAATGCCAATCAACAAATGATGAACTGGGAAATGTGTACATTCACACAATGGGATATTATGCAGCACTAAGGAATAATGATTTTATAATATACTATATAAAATAGGAGAGTCTAGAGAACATTATGTTGCGTCAAAGAACTCAATCTCATAAGGAGAAATAATGCATAAGACTATTACAGCATAGGAGGATAAGTGAACAAGACATATAAAATGTTCAAAAAGGAAAGGAAGAAGGGAGTTGAAAACAGGGAAAGAGAAACCATTAGGATAGCAGAGGTTAGTGGGTGAAGTGAGGGGGTGAAGGAATAGGAAAGATTCAATGGGGACTTGAAAAGATGGGTTGATAACAAGCATAGATCAATGGTAATTAATTATATAAAATACAACATATATGATTGTATAAAACAGTGTATATGAATGAAACATAATGTATAAGAATGATAGTACGTAAACCAATAAAAAACATGTTAAAAAAAGCCCAGGGAAAGGAACTCTAAGGGAGTTAGAAGTCATGCCCTATGAACCATAAAAATATTAAGTTAATCATATTTTCTGGGTACCAGACACTCCAGTAGATACTGCTAACTGCCTCCCCAATACCCTCTGCTATCCCTCTGGATAAATAGAACTTGATGTTCTGAAGAAGTCATGTGTCTGTCGAAATGTCCCTGCTTTCTGGCTCCTTGTAGCTAGTGATGTCCACATACCCAAGAATACAGATAGAAATGGAAGACAAGTGGGCCACCTGGGGAGGCTCTTTAGAGGCAATCAAATTCCACTTGCTGTACTTTCTTCCTTCCACCCTGAGATATGGACAAGATGCATTGATAATGTAAGTGTCATCTTGCTCTGTGAGGAAAAGCACACACACTAAAGACAGGAGCAAGCACCTGAGCCCTTGATGATGTCTTTGAATACCTTTGAACTGCTTCCCTAGTCCCGACATGTGTGAGCTTCTAGTGCTTACATTAAGCTATTTTGTCAAACTACTGTTCTGTAACAGGTTTCTGTTAGAAGCAGCTTAACATGATCCTGATGCTGTACCTGCGTTAATTTGTCATATAACCTTATGAAGTTGATAGTGTGAGCACCAATTTCAGATGAGAGAATTAAGGATTAGAAATATATGTCTGCATCACAAGATAAACAATCCAACTGAAAAATGGGCACAGGATATGAACAGACACTTCATCATAGAAGACACTGAGATGACCAACATGCACATGAAGAAATGTTCAAAATCCCTAGCTCTAAGAGAGATACAAATCAAAACAACTATGAGATATCATCTCACCCCAGTAAGAATAGCAAAATTTAACAGAACAGCAAACAACAAATGCTGGGGAGGTTGTGGAGAAACTGGAACCCTTATTCACTGTTGGTGGGAATGTAAAATGGTGCAACCACTGTAGAAGGCGGTACGGCACTTTCTCAAAAAGTTGCAAATAGAAATACCATTTGACCCAGCAAATCCACTGCTGGGAATATAGCCCGAAGAGACCATAATTGCCACCCAAGCAGACATATGCACACCCATGTTTATCACAGCTTTGTTCACTATAGCAAGGAGTTGGAAACAACCTAAGTGCCCATCAACAAACGAATGTATAGAGAAGCTGTGGTATATTCACACAATGGAGTACTATGCTGCACTGAAACACAATGAACTCATGCAATATTATTCAAAATGGGTGACCCTGAAGGACATTATGCTGAGTGAAATATCTCAGTCACAAAGGGTAAAATACTGCATAGTGCCACTGTTGAAAAAGAGGACTGACATCAGGGTTGGGGGAAGACTGAGAAAGATGGGATAAATAATGCATACTGCATTGAAACAGAAGAGGGAGAAAACTGTTTAAAAGAAATATGTGGTACATAACAAAAGAATAGCATATTTTGTTAAGAAAGTTATACCAAAAAAACAAATAATTTATTCAATAAGAAAAAAAAAGGAATATGTGATTAGGTATTATTGTCATGACAAGAGTCCAGAACGAAGGCTGCATGGTGGAGTGGACCTGGGGGGAGGGATTGTAAAACAATGGGGGAACTTCTATTTATCAAAGAGGAGTGTGTACTGGGGGTAGGGGGGAAGGAGTGGGCAGGGAGAAAAGTGCAACAATGAATGAATGGAAATCCAAAGTCTCTGTAAATTTTCATTAAAATTAATAAAAAAATATATCTCTGAAGTTGCTAAAGGTCAATAGTATGAGAACTGAGATTCATTCCAGGCTTAACTCCATTCTGCCTTAAAAGAAAAAGAGCAAGAAGTCTTGTTTGTTTCTACAGATCCTCTAGGAGGACTTGTGAGGACAGCAGGGGTCATTCACCCCCCAACAAGTATTCATTTAATTGTACCGAGTGCCAGGTGTACAGATAAAGAAATGGGATTACAAGAGTCAATCACTTAAGGACATTTTCATGTAGCTTATCATGTAGTAGAAATCACAGAATAAGCAAATAACATTTGTAGGTCATGGGCTGATAAGACCTATGGGGAAAAATAAAGTGGAATAAGGGCATTTCAACTGTTGTGGAGTCAACTCCCACTTAACGGCACTTTGCATGTGCCAGGGCAGTGTGCACCATGGGCTATGGCTGATTTTGTGCAAGTGGATCACCAGGGCTTACTTCTGAAGCACCTCTGCATGGAATCAAACCTCCAACCTTTCTATACTAACAGCCAAGCACATTATTCATTTGTAATCCCCACAGATTCTATAAGGGAAACAGAGAATGTACTTTTTACAGGAAACTGAGGTCAGTCTCTGAGGTGATATATCTCCTGGGCCTGTAGGACGCTGGGATGTGAGTGAGCCCACGCTGGAATTGAGGCAGAAGAAAGTGTAAGCACAGACCCCGAGCAGGCGTATATATGGTGTGGTATGTCAAAGCAGAGTAGCTGGTATGAAAAGACCCTTGGAAAGTGGTAGGTGAGGACTAAGAATGCAGAAGCATCTGTGCTGAAGGAAGAAATGCTGTCTGTCACTCGGAGGTAGCAGGCAGTCCCATCAGAAAACAGACATGAGCTGACTTATAGACCACTGAAGAACAGAGAAGGATGGGAGGGGAGGAATGACAGGCAGGGAGGCCAGAGCTGAGATACCAAGACAATCTTGGTGAGAGTGCTGGGCACCAGGGCAAAGGTGTAAACAGTGGTCAGACTCTGGACAGGACCTGGAGCACAGCTGACAGGAGCTGTCGAGGGACTGACTGGATGTGGGATAATTGAGGAAGGGGGACAAGGATGACTCTAAGCCTTTGGTCTTGGAGGAATAAGTGACAATTATCAGAGCTGGGGAAGGCTACAGAGGAAAGTAGACTGTGGCTGGCGTGCTGGAGCAGCAAGACTGGGGTGTGTCGGGCTTGATGCTGAGTGGGACTATCAAGAGGCCGAGGGCTGGGCGCAGGATCACCAGCAGGTGAGGCAGCACCGTCTCCAGGGGACACAGCTCATCACTCCCTCCCTCCCTCAGCGTTCAGGACACCAGCCCTGGAGGGGTCCCCTATCTCACTGCCCAGTCCTTCTCTGGCTCCTTTGCTCTCTCATCTCTAAAACTACTGTTGTTGTTGTTGCATACCATCAAGTCAGAACCGACCCATTGCTGACTTTCCAGCAGGTTTTCAGAGGCATTAAATCACATGGAAGGAGACTTCCCATCCTCTTCCATAGAGCAGCTGGTGGATTTGAACTGCCTACCTTTGTATAAGTAACACAATTCCTAACCTCTAAACCACAGGAGTTCCTTACTTGGTGGCTTCTAAACTACTAGGCTTCCAAATAGAGGTGTCAAGAAATCAAGCCAGATATAACAAAGAATCTTTTAAGAAAGAAGGGAGTTTTTTCAAATCCAACTGATTAAAATAAGGACAAGAAGTGACCAGGGAACTTGACAACTGAGGTTGTGGGTTACACACAGAGTAATGAAAAGCTGGAACTGAGCTGCCTTTAGAGAAAAGGTTAAAGGAACCTTAACTTTCTAGAATCACCACAGGAAAACTCCTTTGAGAAGAAGATAAAAAATAAGATTTTTTCCTTTTTTTAAAAAATTATTCTCCTTCTCATTTACACTAGTTAGTGAGCATGCCAAAGCCCAGTGGAAAACATCCCTAGACTGACTCGGCTTCACGGCCCAGACTGGGAATGGGTTTCAGAAGAACAGAGATGCTAAGAACCATCAGCCACCTCGTGGGAGTGAAATGCCATGAATCACTCTGCCTCAAGGTAACCCACACCACTCACCACCTCCTCCCCCCTCAGGACTAGCTGTACCACCCAGACAATGCATCATAAGAGAAAGCATAATGAATATTTATTATGATTATTTTAAGTTTAAAAAATAAGCCCCAAAATCTCCAGGCCATAAACCACAGTAAAAAGCAGTATGTGAGTGTTAGCTCCCCACCTTTGTGGCGTGCACTGGGTTCCTTCAGTGAGGGTACAAGCCCTACAGAAACTTCTCCATTAATTCACACCATTCCTCCCTTTGCTCACAAGTCCCTACTGAAACGGGAAGGAAACTAAGGCACAGAGGTGAAGGGACTGGCCTGAGGTCAAACTGCCAGGTGAGGCAGAGCAGGAAACAGCTCTAGGAAATCTCAGTAGTTCTACTCAAAACACCACACAGGGAACATGTCTGTGGCCGCTGCCTAGCAGGAAAACAGCCATTGTATATGACCAGCAGTATGGTCTCACTGGCAGTAAGAAGACTAGGGCAAGGGAGCCAGGCCTGAACCTGATAAGTCAGCAAACAGGATTCAGCACAGGCTTCCCTCCACTGCACAGCCCTCACTACAAAGTCCAACCCTCCTTGCTGAAAACCAGCTGCACAGCTTCGTTTACGTCGTTCACAATGTGGGATGCTTTTAAGAGCTCTGGACTGAAGCTGAAGTCCCGGTGCCCGTGGAACGGAGGCTCCTCTCTGCCCTGGGCAGGCTCTGCGTCCCTGGGACTATACACACCAGTGCACACGAGGATGGACACACAGCTCTGGGTTGCTGACAGCTGTTGCTTTCTCACACCACCAGCCCCTAACTCCTCTGTGTCGTCACGCTTTGGCATCTGCAGGTATTGGTGGAACAGGTTGGCACCGTAGACATCAGACATAGGGTTATCACTGGCCAGGCAGGCATACCGGAAAAGGAGAGAAGAAAATTCAAGTTCAGTGTTGTAAGGTAGGGTAGAGAACGACTTTGGAGATAGGGTGTGAACTGGATTTTGGGAAATGGAGGAGGAGAGTAAATGGGGAAAGGGAAGGGAAAGCTGTCAAAGTGTCGGAGCAGATGGAGAAGCGCTTACCCTACAGCATAGAGTCTCTGGATGGGAGCGGGCCAGCCTCGCCGCTCTGCCTGCTGCCTGATCAGGTTCTCAGCATACTGGTACGTGAGGATGCTGGGCTTGCCCATGAGGCCCTCATATTTCAGTTCCTTTCCGGTGACCTTCCGGTAAATGGTCTCCAGGCACAGAAGAAAGGTGCCGTGACCAAACCTGCCAGAGAAGACAGCTCAGCAGCCTGGTCTTCCCACCCCAGGTTCTTCCAGGCCACTCACCTTTTCCTTCAGCAGAGCCTGAATACACTAATCTGACGGTAATGAATCAGTTGTTTCTTTAATAAGAGCGAACATTTATTAAGCACTTATTACAATAAGGCACTGTTCCAGCAATAACAGCTAATAGAATAGGGCATTGTTCTAGCACTAGAGATGGCAAATCACAGTTAACTCTCATAAAAATCCTATGAGACAGGTATTAGCTACATTTTACAACATGTTGTTGCACGTGGTTGCTGTTGTGTGCTGTGGAGTTGGAATTGATCCATAGCTGACCCTCCCGGTGAGTTTTAGAGGTAGTAAATCTCATGATAGGAGACTGCCCATTTTTCTCCTGCACAGAAGGTAGTGAATTTGAACCACATACCCTTGCTTTGGCAGTGCAATTCCTTGCCACTAAGCCAACTCTTTCTGATCACTTGCTATGCATCTGAGAGCTGGATAATAAACAAGGATGACAGAAGATGAATTGATGTATTTAAACCATGGTACTGGAGGAGAGCACTGAACATCCCATGCACGCCAAAAGAACAAACAAATGTATCTTGGAGAGGGTGCATATAGCGTATTCTTTGGAGGCAAGAATGATGAGGCTTCACCTCACAGACTTCAGGCATGTTGCTAGGAGGGGCTATTCCTTAGAGAGGAAAACGGTGCTGGGAAGGTTGGTCAGTGAAGGAGAGGAAGACCCTCGACTAGATGGACTGACATGGTGACTGCCGCAATGGTCTCTAGTCTAGTGGTTAGGAAATGTGAAGATGGCACAGGATAGGACGGGGTTCAAATCTGTTGTTCTTAGGGTTGCTATGAGTTGTACTTGATTCAATGGCACCTAACAACAACAAACCAACTTAGGAAAGGTGGCTCCAGAACTTTAAACTTAAATTCTGCATCTGATTTGTGGAAGATTATGGCTGTCATTTTCCTTAGTGCCAATTTTCAGTACAGCATGCTCCATTTGTCATAAAAAATTAGGTTTCCTTACCTCCCACATGGGGTGTGGTCATGTGACTAAGCTACAGTAAAACAGACAAGGAAAACAGATCTGTTAAGCTAAACTTCTAGGAAGTATCTCTCTCTGTCTCTGCTCCCTGGAATGCTGATATGATGGCTGGGTTTCAGCAGCTGTTGTTGTTGTTATGTGCTGTCGAGTCGCCTGTGACTCATAGCGACCCTATGTACAACAGCCCTAAACTCTGCTCTGTCCTGTGCCAATCGCACTGTCTCTGACACTCCCATCCCAATTATCCCAGTCACTGAATCAATCCACCTCATAGAGGGCCTTCCTCTCCTGCGCCGTCCCTCCACCCTCCCAAGCATGATGTCCCTCTCCAAGGACCGGTCTCTCCTCACTACATGTCCAAAGTAAGTTAGACGGAGCCTCAGAATCCTTGCCTCCAAGGAGCCACCCGGTTTAACCCTCTCCAGGACAAATCTATTTGTCTTCCTAGCAGTCCATGGAATTCTCAGTACTCTTCTCCAGCACCACAGCTCAAAGGCATCAGTTCTCCTTCTATCCTCCTTGGTCATTGTCCAACTCCCTGATGCATAACAGGTAATTGCGAAGACTATGGCCTGTATCAGACGCACCTTAGTCTCCAGAGAGACACCACTGCTCTTCAGCACTTTGGAGAGGTCCCTAGCAGCAGACTTCCCCATGGCAATGCGCCTTTTAATTTCCTGGCTGCTGGTACCAAGACTGTTGACTATGGAGCCAAGAAAACTAAAGCTGTGTACAATCTCAATCTCTTCACCATCCATCCTGATGCTGCCGATTGGTCCAGTGGTGAGAATCTTTGTCTTCTTGACATTGAGCCTCAATCCATATTGTAGGCTGCAGTCCTTGACACTCTGCAGCAGGTGCTTCAGGTCCTCCTCAGTTTCAGCAAGCAGGGTTGTGTCATCCGCATAACGCAGATTGTTGATAAATCGTCCACCAATCCTGACCCCACATTTCTCCTCATAGAGCCCAGCCTCCCGGATAATCTGTTCTGCATATAGGTTGAAAAGGTATGGAGATAGGATGCATCCCTGGTGTACACCCTTCCCAATTTTGAACCATGCAGTGTTCCCTTGCTTTGTTCTGACAACTGCCTCCTGGTCCAAGTATAAGTTTCGCATTAGAACGATCAAGTGTTCTGGGATTCCCATTCTTCTCAGAGTCAGCCACAGTTTGTTATGATCTACACAGTCAAATGCCTTTGCATAGTCAATGAAACACAGATATACATTCCTCTGGTATTCCCTGCTTTCAGCCAAGATCCATCTAACATCAGCTACAATATCTCTAGTACCACGACCCCTTCTAAAACCAGCCTGGACTTCTGGTAGTTCTCTGTTGATGTGCTGTTCCAGTTGTTTTTGGATAATTTTCAGTAAAATCTTGCTTGCATGTGAAATTGTTCTGTGGTTTCCACATTCGGTTGGGTCGCCTTTCTTTGGGATAGGAACAAATATCAATCTCTTCCAGTCAGTTGCCCAAGTGGTCATTCTCCAGATTTCTCCAGATTATCCAAAATAGCCGCCGAAAATTTCAGTAAAAAACGATTTTACTGAAATTTTCGGCGGCTATTTTGGATAATGTAGTAAAGGGGTAAAGATTACATAAGCAGGAAAACAAAAGGTGCCTGTGACTCACATGGTGAAGCCTCATACAAGCCCTGAACCACCTACCCTACGCAGTCTTTTACATGAGAAAGAAACACCCTTGCTTTGTCTTAAGACAGAAGTTTTTCTTCACTTGTAACTAACCAAATGCTGACATTGTGCTATGTTAAACTTACATTTTAGTGTCACTTACATATATAAATAATACTTTAAACTTTTAAGTTACTGAAAGAAAAAAATAATATCAAATATAGTTTCTAAATGGAGAATTTTTTTCCCCTTGATACTCAGCTCACATGGCCTATAACCAGCCCCAACTCACCTAGTATCAGCATACTTTAATATCAGGAGCAAACACTTCAGTAAAAATATCTAATCTGAAGCTACAGAAATATACTTTAAAAACAAGGAAAAAGACCACCACAATCCCCAACCTTTTAGAGGTGACAGAGTCAAGGAACTTGAGGTAATGCTGAGCCCTGAACTACTGTTAATCAGTCGTTCACACAGCTTGTGGAAATCAGTGACAAAATGACTCTAGACTTTGTCCTTGGAGATAACTGCAGTCAAAGGGTTGCTATCAGCTGGCTGTCCAGTAATATGAGCCAGAACAGAGGGCTATACACCTGTGCTGAACCCAGGTGTAGATGGACAGGTGATATCCACACAGCTGGAAGCAGAGGTCTTTCCAGTACTTGTGTGTCTCTGAGGAGGTCTGGTTATCTGGTTTAAATAAGCACAATCCTTGCTTCCCCATTCTTACATCAGAAGGATAAATGGAAACAAAGAAGTGAAAGAACCAATGTCCAGGGTAGAGGCAAAGAAGGAAGAGAAGCTGAATAATGTGCATCACTCCACTTCACAAAGCACCTATCAGCTGGGATCCATGAGTCAGGAAAGCGTGTTTTACTGAGCTTCTAGATGGCAGAGTTATTCTTCTTCTCTTGCACATCCTTAGTCTTTAGCCCAGTGTTCAGTAATCTATAGTTTTAGGTAAATAACATGTGAAGGGATACTTAAAAGCCCTCCCCAAGTTAGTGTGGCAACTAGAGGGCTGCCTTAGGTAGGTGTCCAACTGTCCAGAAGGACAGACTGTGGGTGAGGACAGTCTGCAAGGTTATCCAGCCAGCCATGGGTCCTCACCTGGGCATCTTGGCTTCAGCCATCCAAAGGAGGTCCATGTTGCTAGCCAGGACAGGGAGATGGGGGTAGGGGGCCGTTGCCAGGCTAGTGTCAGGGTTCCCATTGCTGAGGAGGACATCCATGATCAGCTGCAAGTTTGTTTCCCAGCGGACAGGCTCCCCAAGGAGGAGCACTCCTTTAAAGAGTAAAGGCATAGGGGTGAAGCTGGCAGGCACTGGCCTGCTCTCTGTACTGGGCTAAAAGGTGGCCAGGCTCTTCACCTGTGGTGCACTCATCCTTGCAAAGGCTCAGCCTGTGAACCAGTCACCAAAGAGTCACTCACCCATTCATCCTAGATCCAAAAAGGTGTTTCCTAAGGGTTTCATTTTAACTTGTCTCTACTAATTAGTACTAAACAGAAAAATTTTTTAAAAGTAAAGCCCCCACCCAAAAAAAATAAGCCAGTGCAGTACGTCTCAGGCTTGCCTCCTTCTACTGATAGTGCTTTTCCTCACCTCAGCCCTGCACACACTCAGCAACGGGCTTGCCTCCCTCACATACTTCTTTCTGAGTCCAGGGGCCAGTATGGGTGGTAAGGACCAAATTCAAACCCTGGCCCTGCCAATTATCCTATATGATTGTGGGCAAGAATTTAACTTCTCTAAGTTTCCATTTTCTCCTGTACATAATAACACCACCCCTCACTTCTCCTGAAAGGATAAAAATGAATTCAAATAATAAATAAATAAAACACAAAATCCAGTGGTTGATACAAAGCAAGCTGCTCAACAAATAGAAACTGTTACTGTTCACTCCAAGCCTAGCTTGCTCATTAGTTTTCAAAGGGGCAGCGCACAAAGGGGAGGTGTGTTAAAACCCGGAGGATATATGGTTAATTGTACAAATGAATGACACAGTAGGTGAGGGCTGTGAGAGGACCAGAGAGAAGATGCTCAGGAGAGTTCTGCTCAGTGAAACACTGCTCCATGTCCTAGTAAGTTTTGAACGCTGTCCTCACCTACATGTACGGAGCTATAATGTTCACAGTGAGTCTGCTTTGTGCAAACATTTAACTAATCCTTCACAAGTGTGTAAAGGAAAGTTTTATTAACTATGAGTTACATTTCAGTACAGCAAAGAGGACATAAAGACCTTTTTCTACACATCAGGAGAAATAGATCTAATGGGGATGAGAAAGAGTGGATTAGATTACTTCTAGGTACCTTTCCACTCTAAGATTCTCTAAGTTTAGATTCTTCTGGGATAATTAAATAACATGGGGAAGGAGAGATTTACAGCTAAGGTCTCAGAGGGAGGCAGATATCAGATGTCCTGTTGTCCAACCTTACCCTCACACACACACACACACACACACACACCCCACACCCACACCCCATTTACCTTCAAGGGCTGGGAAGTCATTCCTCAAAAGGGGCTGCCAAGAGACAGAGAAGAAGCCCGTTAATAGTTGACATCCATGCCTAGAGAACATACACCAGTTTCCAAGGATGGAATCTGTTCACTCCACACAGATTAAAAGGCATCCTCCATGATCAAGCAAAAGGCAAGGAAAAGCTGAATTGGGTCAAGGAAGAGGAACTGAGAAGAATGATTAAAAAAACACAATGATGACGCTGTGGAATATCACATGTGAAAAGCAGCTGTTTCTTCTCCAACAAGGACGGGATCAAGTGAGAGTCTAGAGTCAGGGAGGTAAAGGTGAAGGTGAGCCATGGAGAAAGGAGGCCAGCAGGGCATGACAGACCAGGTTCCTTGATGTGAGCTTTGAAGGCAGAAGAGGCCCAGGGCTTGTTGATACAAAGAGATGTCGCATCTCAGGAAGGAATTCTTCGGTAATCACAAGCCAGGAAAAAAGGAATGGGCTTATGAATGTGTTCTTCTGGCTCATTCTTACATATCCTGGACCAAAATCTAAGATGAAATAGCTCTCCAGGAAGTCCCTGCAGAAGCAGAGACTAAATGCAGCTGTGAGCAGGAGAGATTGCAAGGTTAGCGAGCAGAACGCAGGGAACAGGCGTCAGAGCTGAACATGGAGCAATGCAAAAGGGTGGCATGACCCAACCTCATTACCATGCCCCTCATTACCATGCCCCTCATTACCATGGTCTTCGGCCGCCGCTCGAGATCAACCATGTCAAGCATGGGGAATGCCATCCGCAGCTCGTCCACAGTGACCACATTCTGGAAGCCTAGTCTACAGCAAGATCAGGAAAGTAAAAGAGGGTATGTCTGGGGGTAGATTTTTCCGGATGCATCAAATCACAAGTGAGGAGAACCAATCCTCACCAAATCTGGCCATCCAACCCCAGGCAGGAGGGAACAAATTAGGGTTCAAACAGAACTCAATGAGGAGGAAGACCCAAATCTTAAAGATGCTGACAGTGTGGAGACAAGTGACACTAGAGAACTCCATCAGCAGCCAGTGAGCACTTGCAGAGACCAGATCCTGTGCTAAGACCACCACAGACACAAAGGGTCCCAGAGCCTGTCCGACCTCAGGGAACTTACACCTGCCCAAGGCCACTGAGCAAGCACACTGAGAGTAATCAGGACTGTTGTTAAGGGTGAGTGGAGCTCAGGAGGGCAGACTCTGCAGGGCACTGGACAGTCGGGCAGGAATCATGGGGAGCATCAGTTTGAGCGGAATTTTTGAACAATGTACAAACTTTAGCAAGGAAGGAAGGTCAGAAAGAGGGGCAAGCCAGATCAAATCTTATCTCCTTTAAGACCTGCCTCTATTTTCCTGTCCTAAATTATAATTCATAATCTTAAAAAGAGGATGGCTTCAGATCACTTTTAAAATCTCCCAAAAATGATGTTCCCATCAGATCATTCCATTAGCAATTAAACCTGCACTGACTCCTCACCTTTCAGAAAAAATCCTCACATTCTTTGGTCCACATCCAAGGCTCCCCACTTCCTTGGTCCCACCACTCCTGTTTTCTCTTATATCCTCCTCTACTCTATTCCACTTTCTGCTGTAAGTCAGTGGGTTCCTCACAAGCCCTTCATAACCTCTTTAGCTACATAAATGCTCTTTCCCCTGCCTATAAAACCTCAACCAGCTCCTGTGGCACTGCAGTGCCTTTCCATGAACCAAAATATCACAGCCATCAAGCCATGGATAACTCCTGCCGTGAGACAGTCCTCAAATAAATACCTATGACACTTAGAAGTCAGACTGCTCTTTCTAGCTTCCAATCACATGCCATCTTCAGTGTTTCCTTCACTATTCCCAGGTGTGTTACTTCGTCTCTTCAGATATGACTTTGCCCTTATCTTATCGCCTCTTTCTTCCCAGCACTCAATACAGCATTGGTATGTGGTACATTCTCAGCACATTACGCTGGTTGAAACAAGGACTCTGGTAGTCTTGTACCTCTTGAGGATCAAAAAGACAAGTTCACTGCAGATGCTTGGTTAATGCTGACTGGTAAGCTGACTGAGCATTCCATGAAGGGGAAGAGATCAATGGTTCCCAAGATTAGTTCCCTCACAATCACCTGGAGAGGGGTTGTTTATTTGTTCTTAAATACATACTTCAGACCTGTATCTAGTGAATCAAGTCTCTCCAGGTGGAAGGTTCAAGAACCTGTATTTTTAAACTTCCTTGAAGATTTTGATGAAGGTGTGTGTTACAAGAAGCTGTCCTCCCTCCCGAGATCCCACCATGTATCCCAAGACTCTGACCCTCAGCACTCTTCCTCGCTAGGACCCAGTGCCGGCACTTCTTCTCACTCATGCTCAGGTGCACGGAAAGGATACGCTCGGGCATTTTCCACCAGGGGTCCCTGCCCAGACACCAGCATCCGCTTCCCGTGGAACTGTGAGAAGAGCTTCAAGGGACTGTGAGAGAGAATAACTTGGTCGGGCTCCACCTGCAGGGACGGCAAGACACAGAGGAGAGCAGACACAGCAGTGAGAGACAACAATGGGGACACCAGTGGCAGGTTCTCTCACCGAACAAAAGTGGAGGGGAAGCCATGCAGGAAAAAATACTTTAAAAAAAAAAAAGAGTGCCATTTCTAGCACCAAACAGAGAAGAATCTCTCTAATTTGTTTTTTGCAGCACAAAAGAAGAACATAAGAAATATCTTTAAATGTGGGTTCTGACAAATTCTGCTTGTTCAGCTCCCTGACACTCCGGGACTTCCCAATGTGTCACTTGATAAACAGTTGTGTACATGTTCTTGATCACTGTCACAGACATCTGCTTTGACTTTTTTGTTTTCAGTTCTAATAAAAAACTTCATTTTTTAACATTTAAATTAACTTAAACAAGGCAGCCTTTGCTCTGGAAACTACATCATGGAACCAGTTTTCTTATTAACTTGTTTCACTAGTCTTCAAAACAACTTCACCTGGTCAATTAGCCACCTCACTAACATCTTGGTTCTGCAAGTTTCTTCCCCAAAACAAAATTCACCCTTAAAAACCAAGACTCAAGAAGCCGCACTGCAATCCCAGAGGTATGCAGTTCGAAACCACCAGATGCTCGGCTGGAGAAGGAGGGGCAATCTCCTCCTGTACCAGTCAGATTCGATTTGACAGTACACACATACAAAAAATAATTTAAAAATTTAAAAACTAATAAACAAAAAAAAGAACCCCAAGATTATGTCAACAGTGGGATGGGGTGTGTAGTTGCAAGTGGGTGAAGAGTGCTCTCTACCTTAAAGGATAGTGTTCATGCAGATGCACAAGAAGTGTGAAAAACAAGGCATGTCACCCCAAATCCCACCTGGCAGGTGGAGGTTTAGATGGAAGTGACTATTGGTCTCCAGGAGCTGACAATGCAAAAGAGACACACCTGATGCCCAGAAGGAAAGAAATGGAGAAGGCTGAGTAAAACTGCCAAATAAATGGTTAAGATTTTAGAGCTCTCCCACATATATTAAAAAATGATCTACTGAGAGGGCTCTTCTCATGAGGCTAGCCTTGAACTTTTAGTTACTTTTCCGGAAGACTGAAAGATTTGCACTGACCAGCTGGCTATGACCCAGTGCTCATCAATACTGAGCCCTAACCAGTGGAGGGGACTCAGGAAGGGGAACATTTCCTTTGGGAGTCAGGTCTCTGGCTACATCCTTACCTTGAACCCAAAGAGAGATGACAGCTCCTGGGCCTTGCTTTGTTGTAAGGTGTTCCCAGCATTTGTGACAAAGACCACAGGTACCCGCAACTGTCCTTCGGGGTTCAGCAGCTTGTGGAATGCTTCCAGAGCGGCAGGGATTACCTTGTGGCCCCGCACCAGCACACCATCAATGTCCAAGAGGAATCCAAAGGTGGGCGGGCTCTGCACAGAGAACAGGAAGAGAGAATGACGACTGTGTGAGCCCAGGGACAACTGGGAGAGAGAGGAAACAGAAAACAACCTTTACCAAGAGAGGCTTGGCATCAGCCTCAGGTCACTAAGAGCCTTTGCAAACTATGTCAGAAGGAAAGAAATTAAGAAGATACGGTGTTTTTGATAGGACAGATCTATTCTAGAACAATGAAATTTTTCTTCAATTTGTAAGCATATAACTTGTTAAAAATTATATAATTGATGTGAAATAATCATGAATTGAAAAGAAAAATGGAAAGAAAACGTAATTCTAGAACTTTAGAACAATCAATTCTTTATCTCTTTTCCTCTGTTATTCACACAACTACGACTATACACATGCACTTTTGTGTCTTATTCTTTATACTTAATATATCCTAATAATTTTAAATCTGTTCTAATAGTCTTTATGTTGTTGTGTCTTGTCAAGTACATTAAAATTCACGTCAACCCCATCTGATAAAACACGACCACCTCATGGGGTTTTTTTAGCTGCAACCTTTACTGAAGCAAATCACCAAGTCTTTCTTTTGTTGCATCTCTGGGTGGGTTCAAATCACCAACCTTCTGGCTAGAAGCCAGGAACTTAGCCACTGTGTCACCTGGGCTCCATACAATCTTTACAGACATCTAACACACAGTAAAACAGAAAACAACTACTCAAACCAAAAAACCAAACCAAATACCATCGAGTGCATTCCAACGCATGGCAACCACCTAGTAGGTTTCTGCAGCTGTAAATCTTTATGGGAGACAGAGTAGCTGGCGGATTCAAACCGCCAACCTTTCAGTGAGTAGTAGCCCAGCACACCAAGTACTCCATCACCAGGACTCTTTAAACTACAGGGATAAAATGTTAGTTGCCTCTTTATTCCACCTAGTCCTATTCAATTCCTAGTCTTATCTACTTCTCCAGAAACTTTTTATGGCTACATAGAATGTAAATTTTCTTAAACTCTTAACTACACACACACACACACACACACACACACACTGAAATTATATTTTCTTCCCCCTATTCTTATCTTTTTCCATGGCTTTCTCTCCATATCAAGACATTAGCTACCTCCATCATTTACAGCTACATAATGTCATGAGTGAATGATTCACTATTATGTTTTCTCTGTTTTGTATATTTAGGCTTTTCATACTTTTTGCTATTACGAATAATGTGACAAGAGGCATTTTCCTGACTCAACAGCACCTAACAACAATGTTGTTGTTATATGCCATCAAGTTGCCTGTGAATCATAGAGATCCTATGTATAACAGCTCTGAACCCTACTCTATCCTGAGCCAACTTTATTTTCTCTGACACACCTACCCCCATTATCCCAGTCACAAAATCAATCCATCTCATCAAGAGTCTTCCCTTCCTGCACTGTCCCTCCACCCTCCCAAGCACGATGTCCCTTCCCAAGGACTGGCCCTTCCCTGCAACATGTCCAAAGTATGTCAGATGGAACTTCATAATCCTTGGCTCCAAGGAGCAGCCTGGTTTCATCCTCTCTAGGATGAACCTATTTGTTCTCCTGGCAGTCCATGGTATATTCAACACTGTTCTCCAGCACCACAGCTCAAAGGCATCAATTCTCCATCATCATCCCTAGTTACTGTTCAGCTTTCTGATACACAGCACATAACTGCAAAGACTATGGCCTGGATCAGATGCATCTTATTCTCCAGAATGAAATCGTTGCTCTTCAGTACTCTGGAGATGTCTCCGACAGCAGACTTTCCTAAAACAAATAGTCTTTTGGTTTCTTGGCTGCTGGTACCAAGAGTGTTGACTGTGGAGCTAAACAAACTAATGCTGTTAACAATCTCAATCTCTTCACCATCTATCATGATGCTACTAATTGGCCCAGTGGTGAGAATCTTTGTTTTCTTGATATTGAGCTTCAATCCATATGGAACACTGTAATCCTTGACCTTCTGAAGCAAGTGCTTCAGGTCCTCCTCAGTTTCAGCAAGCAAGGTTGTGTCATTTGCATAACACAGGTTGCTGATGAATCCTCCTCCAACTCTGATGCCACACATCTATTCATAGAGCTCAGCCTCCCGGATAATCTGTTCCACATATAGATTGAAAAGGCATGGAGATAGGACACATCCCTGATGTACATCCTTCCTGATTTTGAACCATAGTGTTTCCATGTTCTGTTCTGATGACTGCCTTCTGGTCCAAGCATAGGTTTCACATAAGCACAATCAAGTGTCTGGGATTCACATTCTTCTCAGAGTCAGACACAGTTTGTTATGATCCACACAGTCAATGAAACACAGATATCCCTCTGATACTCTCTGTTTTGGGCCAAGATCTAACATTAGCTATAATATCCCTAGTACCATGACCTCTTCTAAACCAGCCTGCATATCTGGCAGTTCTCTGTAGATGGTGCTGTTCCAGTAGTTTTTTGATAATTTTCAGCAGAATCTTGTTTGTAAGTGGTATTAATTATATTGTTCAATAATTTATGCACTCTGTCAGGTCACAGTATCTTTGTGTAAACTGATTTTTCTAGATGCTGTATTTTTTCCTTAGGCTAACTTCTTAAAAATAAAAGTAACACATTATGCTGAGTGAAGTATCTCAGTCACAAAAGGACAAATACTGCATGATGCCTCTGTTGTAAAGCAGGTCTGACCTCGGGGTTAGGAGGAGACTGAGAAGGATGGGTTCAATAATGTATACTGCATTGAAACAGATGAGGGAGAAAACTGTTTAAGAAGGAAAATTATTAGGTATTTTTGTCATGATAGGAGCCCAGAGTGAAGGCTGTATAGTGGAGTGGACCTGGGGAGGGTTTGCAAAACAATGAAAGAATTTGTCTTTTACTTTTCCAAGAGGGGAAGGCTGGGAGGGGAGAAAAGCGCAACAATGAATGAATGGAAATCCAAAGTCTCTGTAAATTTTCAATGAAATTAATAATAAATTAAAAAAAACAGAAAATGATAAAAAGTCAGCATGAAAAACAACAACAACAAAAAAGTAACAATTTTATGGTGTAAAAGTGCTTTCTAAATTGTAAATCAACTGACATAACCTCTTGCAAAAAACTGGTTTCCCTTCACTGTTGTCTATATTGGATTTTCACCTATAGCAAATATTTTGTTAATTAGCAAATAATTTTGCTAATTTAGAAGTGTTTTTAAAAATTGAAGAATGTGGTATCAGGATCAGTGAAAGATTCATCAACAACCTGCATTATGCAGATGATAAAATCTTGCTCATTGAAAATGAAAACGATCTGAACTGCTTGCTGCAGAAGATCAAAGATTACAGCCTTCAATATGGATTACGTCTCAACATCAAGAAAACAAAAATTCTCACCACTGAGCCAATACACAATAACCTTGATAAACGGACAAAGAACTGAAACTGTCAATTATTTCATCTTACGGGAATCCACAATCAATATCATTGGTTGCAGCAGTGACCTCTCCAAAGTTCTAAGGAGCACTGATGTCCACTTAAAGACAAAGGTGCAAGCAATCTGCAACAAGAGTGCACCGCAAAGTGAACTGGGAAAGGGGAGGGAGGGAAAGGGAGGAAAATGTGTAAAAATGAATGAAACTTTAATCTTTCTGTAGACTTTCATTAAAATCACAATAATAATTGTAAAAAAGGACTAGGGTGTACTGGATCTAATCCATAGGCTTTTGTATCACTTGCTAATGCATCTGAAAGATGGACAATCAATAAGGATGATAGAAAAATTGATGTCTTTGAGTTGTAGTGTTAGAGAAGAGTACTGAATAACACATCGACTGTCAAGAGACCAAATAAATAAATAAATATGTCTTGGAGAAAGTGCAACCAGGAGGCAAGGATGATGAAACTTTGTTTTACATACTTTGTCATGTTGTCAGGAGGGGCCAGTCCTTGGAAAAAGACATCATGCTTGGATAGGAGGGTCAGTGAAAGAGAGGACCCTTGACAAGATGGATTGACACAGTGACTCTAACAATGGGTTCAAGTATATCAGAGATGATGAGGATGGTACATGACAGGACAAATTAGAGATCTGCTATTCATAGGGTCACTATGAGTTGTAGTTTGCTCCCATTTCAAAGAAAGGTAACCGAACAGAGCATGGAAATTATTGAACAATATCAACGTCACATGCAAGCAAGATTCCACTGAAAATTATCCCAAAAACTACTGGAACAGCACCATCAACAGAGAACTGCCAGATATGCAGGCTGGGTTTAGAAGCAGTCATGGCACTAGAGATAGTATAGCTAATGTTAGATGGATCTTGGCCAAAAACAGAGAGTATCAGAGGAATGTGTGTGTTTCACTGACTATGCAAAGGCATTTGATTCTGTGGATCACAACAAACTGTGGCTGACTCTGAGAAGAATGGGAATCCCAGAACACTTGATTATGCTTATGTGAAACCTATGCTTGGACCATGAGGCAGTCATCAGCATGGAAACACTGCGTGGTTCAAAATCAGGAAGGATGTACATCAGGGATGTGTCTTATCTCCATGCCTTTTCAATCTATATGTGGAACAGATTATATGGGAGGCTGGGATCTATGAAGAGGAGCATAGCATCAGTATTGGAGGAAGATTCATCAGCAACCTGTGTTATGCAAATGACACTAAGTTGCTTGCTAAACTGAGGAAGACCCGAGGCATTTGCTGCAGAAGGCCAAGGACTGCAGCCTTCAATATGGATTGAAGCTCAACATTAAGGAAACAAAGATTGATTGTAAAATGGTACAGCCATTCTGGAAGGCAGTTTGGCACTTCCTCAACAAGCTGAACATAGAAATTCCATATGACCCAGCTATTCCACTGCTTGGAATATACTCTGAGGAAATGAGAAATGAGGCACAAATGGAGACTTGTACACAATGTTTATAGCAGCATTATTCACCATTGCAAGAACATATACAAACAGCCCAGATGTCCAACCACAATCAAATGGATTGAGAAATTATGGTATATGAAATACAATGAAATACAATGCAGCATGTAGGAGTAATGATTTTGTAAATTATTACCTAA